GTTATGAAATAAGAAATTAGATCAGAAATAAATCTCTGTTTATAGTTTTGGGAAGTAATTTCGGATGAGCATGGTATTGAACCTGATGGCACTTATAAGGGTGATTCACAGTTACAATTGGAACGTATTGATGCATATTTCAAAGAAGCGGAAGGTTTATATTTTTCCATTTGGATTCAGAGCTCTTTTTTTCAAAGCAAAGGATAAATTAAAATTGCCAAGACTTAATCTCACGTCCTCATTTCATTAGACGCAGCGTCATTATCACTATTAATTGTATCATTTCTACTTATTACGACGAATATAAAGAAAAAGCAAACACAATGGTTAATTTATTGAAATTATTATTCCATCACTTTACCATTCTTTTTGTCTTACATATTCTGTGTAAAAATTTGAAAATAAATCTCAGGAAAAAAGTATGTCCCTCGTGCGGTATTAGTTGATCTGGAACCAGGAACTATGGATTCTGTACGTTGTTCAACCTATGGGAAGCTTTTCCGACCAGACAATTTCGTGTTTGGTCAAAGCGGTGCTGGAAATAACTGGGCTAAAGGTCATTATACCGAAGGAGCAGAACTTGTTGACGAAGTGTTGGATGTTGTTCGGAAAGAAGCGGAAAGCTCTGACTGTTTGCAGGTATGGAAACAATTTTGTTAGAGCATAGAAATTAGAAAAAAACTTTCTGTCACTATTTCCATGAATCAAATGCAATAGTATAAAATTCTTTTATAGGGTTTTCAACTGACTCATTCCTTGGGAGGTGGTACGGGTTCCGGAATGGGAACACTTCTCATTGCCAAAATATGTGAAGAATATCCGGACCGCATTATGTCATCATTTTCCATATTCCCGTCTCCCAAAGTAAGTCGTTCATTCAATTTGCATTTCTTTTCTAGTTTTCTTTAAGTATTAAAAGGTAATAAGAACTCGTAGTTTGAACGAAATAGACTAGAAGAAAGTTTAAGCTTATCTCTGACTAACTATTGAATATTTTGAATCATTATTTCTAAAATGTTCACGATAAGTTGAATGACAGGTATCAGATGTTATTATCGAACCATATAATGCGACCTTATCCGTGCATCAACTCATAGAAAATACAGATGAGACATTTTGTATCGATAATGAAGCACTTTACGATATTTGTTTACATACGCTGAAACTTACTGGACCAAGTTATGGTGATCTTAACCATTTAGGTAAGTTTTGAACTTTTTTATTCTTATACGCCATGAATGAAGAAGTTTGCAGAAGATATGATTTCAAACTAGAAAATGATTTAAATAAAATATGATCGGATGAAATAATTATGTGTTTTCATAGAAAAAAAAAAACGCTCAAAATTGCTAGATAACATCGATGTAGAAATTAAAATGCCTCAACTCACCTTTTCTAACTTAAAAAACGAGGTAAGTTTCTAACGAATATGATCAATGTGAAATATTTGTAAAAAAAAATGCGTATCAGAATGTAATGATGAATAAATGATCAGTATTTAGTATCAATGGTCGTTTCTGGAGTAACTACTTGCTTACGATTTCCTGGCCAATTGAATGCTGATTTGCGTAAACTAGCAGTAAACATGATCCCGTTTCCTAGACTTCACTTTTTTATGCCTGGTTTTGCTCCGCTAACTGCTCGTAATACTGCTGCATATAGATCACTCAAGATTAATGAACTAATCCAACAGGTAACATTTAAAAGGATTAAATTAAAGTTTACAATATGATTCTAGTAATTCTAATTTTATAACTTTTCAATTACATATTGCTTTAGATACTATTAAGTGAGGTGCACAAGGCACAATTATTTAGTCTTCCTCATTCGCCACATTTCATGGTAAATGTCTCTTCTTCCTTTTTTCGACAGTAGCGCTTCAAAAATATGATTGATAAAACCGCCTTTAGGTGAATTAATCTGATTATGTTCGAATATCATTGATTATCAATGCATCACATTAATTTGCACCAAATGAAACGGATAAATGAAATGATTATATAAAAATTAGATGAAGCTGCCCGCAAAAAGAAATTCCTGAGAAATTTAAAAAATTTTTCTCAAGATAATTCTTTAATTAATATACAATTTAAGATGTTTAAGAATTCTATTGTAGTTGTTTGATGCACGCAATATGATGACCGCTTGTGATCCAAG